AAGGTGACAGGCGGGTTTCGGCACACAACTTACACACAACAGCAAGCCCAGCTCCGTGTCTAAGGCCTACAGGAGTAAAGACCGAGTCCTGCTTATGGCAGTCTGCTGTTATGGGCCTGAGCCTGGTGCTAAAAGTGGCCCATCTTCTACACCCATACGATCTAGGCTGAGAACAAGCTCACGGACGCCAGCACTGGCTGGGCCCTCCATGTTTATGCAGAGGCTCCTCTGTTCCAGGGTCAAGTATCTTACGTGACCTCGCTCCAGGGCAGTTCTGGGCGTCGTCCTTCTCTCTGCACTGTTCTACCTCTCAGTTCCTGGGAGCAGTGTGCCTCCCCAGCCCTGCCACAGCTGCCTACACAGGATGTAACAGCAGGAGTCCTGTGCTGGGCCCACATCATTCTCCAATGCTATCACTAGGTACAAAGTGCAAAAGTGTTGCTGTTCCTGCATCCATTAAAAACTTTAAAAACAGAACAAAACGATTCCCAGATCGATTTGAAAATACACCAGTCTCCAAAAAGCCAGCAAGCACCTGATAACCTGTTTGTGCCAAGTCAGCTCCTGTCCCGGCGTGGCAGCGTTCCGGGGGTGCGTGTCCAATCAGCAGGATTCCACCTTCTTGGCATGCTCGCCAGACCAACGCAGGACGACATCCAGAGGGCTGAGTTTGGATGGCTCGGACGGAAATAAGCAGTTGCTAAAGGTTCCAAGATCCTGTGGTCACGCCCCGGACACAGAGCACGGTGCAACTCACAGGAAGGCAGAGCCAGCCCACTGCTCAAGACAGTTCAGTGCTACAAAAACTTTGCTCTTCCCCCTCACCTCCTCCCGCCCCCCAAAATCTCCAGCCCTCCCAGCCTTAGCCCATTTAAAGTGTTTGCTTTATCTTTACCTCCTATGAAATGTTTCTGATAAGGCTTTATTGCTATACAAAAGCGGTGCAAACGCTGCCCAAAGGCAGCTCCATCGGGAACTTTGGTCACACGACTGCAGGACTTACTGTGCACCGTCCAAGTCCCGGCGCTAGACCTGCTACCTTTCCGAAGAGAAGCTGAATACTGTGTGCAGTAACACTACGAAAACTGGACTGAACCCCAAAGAGAAAACAAAACCCAGGGAAGAGGGAGGGGGACAAGGTACTCAAAGTAGGCAGAAGGCTTCCTTGGGTAGGACCGAGTCACTCCTGTGATGACTAACTGATCAATGCTACATTTAGACAATACGAGTGTCTTCCGGAACAGATTGTTGGTGCTGAAATCGCGTGTCTGGTCCTCAATGCCAGCTCTCTCATCAATGCAGCATTTATTAAAAAATAAAATTAAAATGAAAAAAAAAAACTTGACAAATTGCATCACCAGGTACATCCTGGCCTGGGTCAGACATGTCCCATTGCACTTGCTTCATCAAGCAGGACCATTTAATGTGGCTTCAGCACATGGCAAGACCTCCTCTTTCCTGCAAGAAAAACAAACAGGATTACCGCAAGGAGGAAGGGCCTATCCAGCTATGCCAGCCACACATCTGTCAACTCTGCAACGATCTGGGCATTCACCCGGACACACTGGAAGGCTTCCTTCCAGCACGTTGCCTAGCCAACAGCATCAGCAACGCAGCACTTGGAGGACACGGGATTTCTTTGGAGCCCCACATGCATTTACCCCTCCCCCACCCAAAGAGGGCCTTTTGGAGGGGGAGCGTACACGCCCCAGTTCACATGTGCAGTAAAGATGCGAAATGACTTGTCTAAGGCCAAAGAGAGAATAAACGTCAAAGCCAGGCTTAGGAGCCACCTGCGCCTGGCTCCCAGGTCTGCACTCAGAGCGCTCGCCTTGCACGGTGCGTGTGGCTGCCGGCTGCGCAAACAGACTAGACCTGCTTGGAAACTGGGTTTTTTCTTGTCATGCATCAAACAGCAGCTGGGGGGAGAGGGTTGAAAATCACCCGTAAGGCACGAGCAATATTACTTCATGCTGGCTGGACTGCTTCTGTCAATGGGGCTGATATTTCCTGTGCCCCCTCCTTCGACTGATTCCCCTACCCACGATCATCGTGCGCCCGGTCTTGTCTGGGCAGAGACTCAGCCAACCCCAATCTCACCTAGACACTGGCTGGGGCACCGAATGCGTAGAGCCGGACGCATGTAGCTGCTCCTCATTCCCCTCACTACGCCTGCTAAAAGCCTTGCGCACGTGCTAGCCATGAGAGGTGACGGAACGACACCAATGGCACAGCAGACTTGATAGATCTTCAGGAATAGGAGCAGCCCCATCTGCTCCTGCAGGGCGTCACCTCTCGATTAACCGTACTGCAGGCGTCAAATACATCTAGCGCCCTCAGCACGCAGAGCTGGTCTTCCCTCCTTGTGGGCGCAACATCAACTCACGCGACCTAACGAAATCGCGGTGCTGTGGCCAAATCTGTATCCAGACTGCTATGAGTCAAGGCGACCAAAGGCAGCTAAACAAGGAGAAGTCCTGTGGTACCTTATAGACTAACAGATTTACTGGAACAAGCTTTGGTGGGCAAAGTCCCACTTTGTCAGATGCATCTGAAGAAAGTGGGTCTCTGCCCACAAAAGCTCACGCTCCAATAAATCTGTTAGTCTATAAGGTACCACAGGACTTCTCCTTGTTTAGCTGCCTTTGGTCGCCTTGACTCTATCAGGTGCCACAGGACTCCTCGTTGTTCAGACTAGCATGGCTACCCCTCTGATACACAGGCAGCTGCCTCGTGCCAGTCTTCTCCATGAGGGAAGATGAGAAACTGGACAATACATTGTCAGTGTGAAGTGAGGACTTTTGAGCTACAGGTTGTACCGCCATGGAACACAGTTCTCCCTCAGAGCTCTCGAGAACATTTCTAGGCCCACGAATCTCCCAGGGCTGATCATCTGAACAAGTCCCTCCCTAGAAGTCAGAGGCACCCCAATCTCAAAGCATGGGAGGCAATGGTCAGATCGGCCTGCATGCACGCTAGTGCTAAGCTACATCCACAGATTCAACGGCTCGGTACGGAATAAATTAAACTTTTTCAGTTTGACAGCAGGCGGCTAGAGAACTTCACCCACTCACCTGTCTTTTGTTGTGCTTTCCGTGGTAGCTGCACCGCCGGCGGCAGTGTGCTGGCGCTCCTCAGAATGCTGGGACACGCTGTTCAGTGGTTTGGATGCCTTGGCCGTCCCCATGTCGGTGATGGTCAGCTTGTCAATAACCAGGCAGTCGGCGTCGCTGCGTGAGGAGAACTCAAGCTCAAGTCAAACTGGCGACCGAGGGGCTGCTACATCCCAATGGAGAAACATGGATTCTCCTCCTCGTCTAACAGAACACACCATTCCCACTAGATGCAGTCATGGCATGAATGAATTCAAATGGACAGTAACATCAAACTGGAATTAGAAGCATTCTACTTATCCTGGAGGCTAAAATCAGGACACTGAAAACACATAAAACCACCGATTCCCACGGAGGACACGTCCACTCAATGCCACAGAAACGAGCCCACAAGTTGCCATCCATTCTCATTGCCTGGAAGGAAGACGTGTTAGTACTCTCCTAGATGCAAACGCTACTAATAGCATGTTGTCCCGTGATGGAGAATGGAGAACAAATACTGACAGCCTGCTAAGTCATCAACAGAAGGGACCCCTCAAATGAGATGCATTCAAATGAGAACCTCACAGAGCAACAGGCCAAATTCACTGCTGGATGAAAGAAAATTACTCAGCTATGATAGCGGTTGGAGATTATCCAACACTATTCTTGGGGCTGTGCTAGAAATCCCCAAGCCCAGAGTTCGGAAACTCTTGGTTCTAACAGAGCATATTTCTCATGGTCATAAGGACACTCCTCTGCTCTCACCTACAGCTGGCAAGGGAAGTCACTCCCAAGTGCATTTTTAAAGTAGTTCAGAACCTGGAGCTCTATCAGGAGGACGGTGGACAAGGCGTGATCTCTTATGGTTGGTCATTTCAGACCACAATTATAGGTAAGTAATTCTAACCCCTCCAAGGATACCTAAGGGAACAGATCTCCCTACGTGGAGATTAGCACGTCCAAAGATGTGTTTATAAAACCAAATACAATATAACAAAATGAAAAAACCTGCAGCAGGCAGGAGAGCTGCTGGCCAAGTAAATCTACTCTTGGACACTGACACTAAAAACACTTTTCTGAGTGGAGAAATAAGGCCCTTCTATAACATGCTGTACGGTTTTTGTACTTTAACACAGTGAGATAAAATACTTCTGAAAACAGTCAAGAGCTGTTTAAAATAGAGAGAGCCTGAACATAAAGCGAGTTTGCTCAGAGTTAAGAAAGTTTGGCTGCTCCTAACTAGAGTCCACAACTCTGACATGGACAGACAAGAACGCAACTCTGGCCTAAAGGATAAATCTAAGTTATGGTGCTTTGGGAACATACCATGCTGGCATACAAGGTGTGACCACACTGCAGACCCTGCTGCCAGAATAAAAACTTGCTTCATTCCCAATGGGTTTGGGTGTGACAAAAGCATACTGCTGCCAGGTTGCTACCAGGGGAGAGGCAGCCAGCCATCACTTACACATGCTTCTTTGGGAAACAGCGAAAGTGCAGCAACACTCAGAATAGACTTTGCTCAGTGGCTTGGACAATTCACTGTCTCTGCTGCTTTCTTGCCATTGGTAAAAACAGACGTGTATAAGCTACTTTAAGCCAGTACAGGAAGTACAAAATGTGAAGGGAATTCGCATGTGATGGCTCAGATGCTCACAGCTGCTACTACTTGTTATTTGTGCTAGCAAAGCACCCAGGAGCCCTATTTATGGGCCAAGACCCCACTGTGACAGGCACTACAGAAGCACGGGACAGAAGCTCCCAGCCCCAAAGAACTTCCCATCTTAGTGAAGACAAGAGACAACAGCTGGACATAAGGATGAGAGCACAGGAAAACAACGGGGAGGTTCCGGTCAGCATGGGGTCTCAGCATGCCAGCAGCCTTACAAGCGGCGACCTTCTGAGCAACTCGGAAGGCCTGAGATGCTGCCGCCAACACCAGTCTTCTATTTCTACACTCCCAGCAGCCACGCTGCCAATTAGGAACATTAAAATGGGTTTAGTTAACTGTGTAACCAGTGCGGTTACACGTGGGAGGGCAGGCAGTACTGCAGAGCCAGCATGCATGGGGAGCCAGCTTTTAAGCCAGCTCCCCACACATACCGGTTCCTGGGGAGCCACGGGAGACAGCAAAATGGAAACCAGGAGCCTGCATGTAACCGTGTATACGGTTACACTCTCACCTCCCTACTGACAGTGCAAGGGATCACTAATTAGGGTGGCTCAGCCTCACCAGACAGGGTCAGACACTCCCAGTAATGACGCTGACCACTCAAATCCCGTTCAGGTGTAAGAAGATGATCTGTATGGAAACGCAGGCGTGTGTAACGCGTCTCTCGGATGAGAATGCGTAGGGCCGAGGCAGAGGAAGAGATGTGTCTGAGCAGCAGACTGTGATGGCCTCTCTTCATGCTGTCTGTTCCCAGGGCAGTCTCTTCTGTGGTTGTGGGTCACAGGGCGCTTCAGCAGATTTCTGATATTTCCCACTCCGGAAATATCTACAGGGCCCTGCAAATGCGCAAACATCCACTTTACACCGGTGGGAATTCGCATCCGCGGGTGTGAGCGCGCAGCTCCGCACATCATTTCTGCGGATACGGATGCGTGTACAAATTTTGTATCTAGAACCCTGCAGATGTGCGGCTGTCTGCTTTAAGTCCATAGGAATCTGCAGATGAGGATGCAGATATCCATAGCTCTTTCCTGCGGATACAAATTTTGTATCTGCTCTAAGTATCTAGTGGCCTGCCTCCTGAGCTAAGACCACTCAAGTGAGTCCTTTACCAACAGGCTCAACATGGTTGACGAGTGTGTCCTCCTTCCCAAAGGTTAAGCAGCCAGTTAATGCTGTCCATTTCCACACCTGCAAGGCTTTCTAACACAAGGAAGCGCATCCTCCCCTCCTGCCTCTTGATGTAAAACATTACGGCCTAATTGTCCGTCTGTAACAGACCAGCTTTGGGGACACTGGTTCCTGGCAATCCAAACCGCTCGCCAAGGGTTATGATGGTCTGGAAAATACTGTGCCTAATCTACACAAACACCGCATCCCTGCCAGAGCTCCTGTGTGGTTACTACCAACTGGATCACTGGAATTCAAAATGGGGATGTTAAGAGGCGGCTATTTACCCTGAAGAAACATCCCTCTCCCTTCCACGTCTGGTCTCTCTCATCCACAACCCAGAGCAGCACCGCCCTGCCGGGTATCAGTCTGTGGGAGCGTTGGGCACTGCTTTCCAACTTCCTTTACCAAGTGATAACGTGTCTGCTTTCAAACCAGCTTTTCCCATTAAAATGCATGCCCCTTGTTCCATGGGGCTATGTTACAAATTGTCACCTCATTCCCTGCATGATAGGAGAGCGATCACATCTCTTCAAGTGTGAGTGTCTTAGGCTGAACATATTGCCAGGATTATGTTGCTTACAATTTTCATCACATTGCGCAGGTGGAAATGAGTTCTCAGCAGTTTCCCCGTTCTGGAGCCCCTCCTGCAGGACTAGGACAAGCACCACCCCCAATTTCAAACAGTGATTTCTAAAGCCAGAAATGTCTGCTATTTTGGCATCCAGGAAACAATTTCACCATTCACACTAATACAGGTGTTCATGTGTAGTGTATCAATGTGTTATTAAATAATAACTGAATAAAATAATATTAAATAAATAATTAAAAACAACATCCATGTTTTGATTGTTTTTTATTTGGACCTCAAGTGTGTAGTCGGCCCCCGAACTGCTGTTTGATAGTTAATGCGGCCCTCGGGCTGAAAAGTTTGGAGACCCCTGGAGTAGTCGATAGAAATTGTATCAACTACTCGATTAGTCGATAGGCAAGCCCAGCTCAGTCCCAGCTACTGCCTTTTAAATTTCAGAGCCGCAGCGGGGTTTGGACCTGCACCTGGCACAAGCTGGGACTGGGTTGGGCTGCCTGCCCAGCCAGCAGCAGCCCATGTGTGTGTGGGAGCTCCCAGTGAGGTTCGAGGGAAGGGGGAACAGGCAGCACCGCGGAGACAGTGCTGAGGGGATCGGGAAGAATGCGAGTAATCAATTCGATTACCCAGGGAGCACAGGCTTCTCGGGTAGTCCACTGCTCCCTTACATCCCTAATTTGAAAGCCTCCTTCCCACTGACACCAAGTTACAGGGCACTGGAGGACACTCGCCACCTTGCTATGATGGGGAACTCTGTGGGTCTGTCTACACTGCAGACGGGAAGTGTGATTTCCAGCATGAGCAGACAGACATGTCTTTGCTCCGCATGAATTAACATGCTAAAGTAGCAACATGGAAGCTGTAACACAGGCAGTGGCTTGAGTTAGCCACCGAAGCAGTCACAATAAATCGACCACCGGTGGACTGATCACAGCAGCATCAATCCACCGTGTAGTGAAGAGAAGCCCTTAGATTGTAAGCTGCTTCGGGTAAACGTAGCTATATCTCTCCTCTACATTCTGAACAGCACCCACCACTTTTTTGCCACTCTACAAATAAATACTCATGTTGTCAAAATCACCATCTCTCCAGAGAAAGAGGAATTACTTGCAAGAGAACTTCTTCACAAAGCTGTCATCATGTTAGGTGTCTCGTGGACGTTAAACTTGGGCAGCTTTCAAAGCACCACTGCTTGAGGTTTCAAAGAGGCAGATAAATAGATTGATGGAGGCACGGCACCTCTTAGCTTGTGAAAAGCACATGTTTAGGTTTACCAATTTCCAGCAAAGATCACATCTAAGAGAACATATGTTTTCACATATAACAACGCATGTCTTGAAAATGTATTTAAACCTGCTTGTAATCAGGGTGAGCTCCAAAACATGGCGTTCCTGGCCTAGCCTTGGCGTTTGCAGTGACGGCTTGCCATTGGGGCTAATTCCAACGAGACATGCGTTGTTATATGTGAAAAAATAAATAACTGGCACTTACTTTGCACATTTCCTCTAGGGATCTTAACACACTTTCAATACAATAAAGTCCCTATCCTTTTATTTATTTATTACAGAAATAAAGCCTAACATCTTATAACTAGCATGCCTCATGTTAGGCTCCTAAACTCCCTGTTTAGGTAGCTACCTAAAAAAACTGAACTTATAGGCTAAAACAATTTAAAAATAAGCCCCGTCTACACTTGGAATTAGC